GTGTATAACGATCCCTCGTTCTAAATAATGCATATTGTGGCTGCAGAGCAATTTTTCCCGGTTGTCATCAAGCTGTTCAATTGCATTGTTTGCGGAACAGGCGGCTAGTCGATAAAATTAATGAAATAGCTTGGCAGCAAATGAAATTTCATCATTTTGGAAATTTTCAATAACCGGTATTGTATGGAGCAATAAAAAATTATTATGTTCACGCAAAGGGTGAGAGATCCATAAACGAGCATTTTAACTGTACGGTTGTGGGACGCGAATATAATGAGCTTTATTAAAATGCTCACAGCCTGATTTTACAATTATTACGTTTTAAAACGTGATTTCGGTGGCGGTGTTTCGAAATTAATTTCATAAATAAAAAAAATCGCCAAATTACGGTCGTGTTGGAATTTTAATGTGATTAACACGAAATCTGAAAATTATTTTTGTTTATTAATAATATTGCCGACAGTCAAGTGTGTGAACTAAATTATGGATAACTGCAGACACAGGATACGAACTAGAACAGTCGGAGGGAAAACAGGCATTGATTTAAAATTTAATTAAAAACTTCAAAGAGTACAGTTCGGTGCCTAAAGGAAGATTAAAATTGAACGGATTGTTTTAAATCACATGAGTCTAAACTTGAAATTAGACGCTTATAACACAATTTCCAAATAGGGCATTAATGGATCGTGAAAAAACAAAGGAGCTCTTCTAAACAAGTTTAATTTCTGTTATTAATAATCTTCAAAAATTAGCATCTTTAGAAGTTTAAAAAGTTTGCGACAAACTTCAAGGCGGAGTAATGAAGGCGTACTGGTATCCTGGATTTAACTCAAAACAGTCTTCTGGATTGTGTCGATAAATCGAAAACTTTATTGGAAAATTTAAATGCTGTTATGACAGTTTTATAACAGAAGACGCAAAGAGCTGACGTCTCATAAAACTTTCACTGCCAGGTATTATCCTATTGATGGGGAGCTTGTATTCACTAGGTGACTGATTAATTCTGCCGTTATTTAGGTTAAGTTGCTGTGTATAGTGTAATACTAATTGGCTAATATTTGAAAAAAAATTAACCTACAAAAGCGTTTTAATTTCTTATAAATTGATTCCCGAAAAAACCGTTTTGTCTGAAAATATTTATGGTTAATTTGCTTTAGACTTCAGTATGTCATCTTAGAATGCTTTATCAATTCAAGTAAAGTCAATTTGAATGCAAATTAAGTTAATAGCGACCGAGAAAACGGAAATACGTTCAGTGATGCACAGCCAATTTCAGACGAGAAACTTGATACATATGTTGCACTCTAAGGTAATTAATTATTTCTAACTAGACAGGATGCAACTAAATGAGGTGTTAAATTTTACATACACATATATTTAAAGTTCTGCTAGTCACTTCCACTATTGCATCTTATTTAAATCATTAAAATAGTATATCTAACAAAAATTATTGTACCATTCATTTTTAAAAAATAAATCACTTTTTCAATTTTACCCTTTTTAATTTTCGATTTTTAGTTTTTTAATTTCTGGATATTTAATTTTTCATTTTTTCGATCTTCCAATGTTACAGTTTTTCGACTTTACAATTTTGATGATTTTATAATTTTTTGATTTTATAATTTTTGGGTTTTCGTATTTTTTTATTCGATTCGATTTTTCTTCATTCGAATTTTTCGATTCATTGATTTTTTTGGCATTTTTAAATTTCCCCATTTTTGGTTTTTCAGTGTTTCAATTTCTTCACCCTTTGACTTGCAGTTTTTCGGTTTTCGATTTATTCATCTTTACAAGTTGTCGTTTGGTCAGTTTTGGATTTTTCAATTTTTTTCGATTTTTGATTTTTCAATTTTTTGTTTTTTTCAACTTTTCGAATCAAAAAATGCCAAAATTGCACAACTGTCAAATTGAAAAACAAAAAATGTAAAAACACAAATTGTAAAATGAAAACTTCGAAAAACCTCAAAATTGGAAATCAAGAAGAAAGGCAATCTCTTTTCGTAATTCTTACAATGTCGTTACTGACCCCCTTGTCTGACAACGAAGAAAAATTCATCAAAATTGAGATCGGGGTGGGTGGGTGGGGCTTAATCATTGGCTATTTTGCTAAATATAAACAGGGTTTTCTTGTAGAGAAATAGAGATTTTGAAATTGAGCTCCGCCCCATGACTAACGACGAAAAAAATCATTATAATTGAGTTTAGGGTGGGTGGGCGGGGCGTTTTTTTCTTAATATCGGTAGTCTTCTTTTCACAACAATAAACTGAAAACATATTTAAAATCGTAAATTTTTGTAGGGAAATATGGATTTTGCAATTATGCCCCGCCCCTCGGTCTGACAACGAATGAAAAATTCATCACAACTGAGATCGGGGCGGGTGGATGGGGCTTAATATTGGCTTTTTTGCATAATATAACTATATAAAGATTTTACTTTCAATGAAATATTGTTAAAAAATGTTTGACATGGTAATCTGTTGTGGAAAATTAAAGATTTTGAAACCAAGCTCCGCCCCTCGACTCACAACGAATAAAAAAATCATCACAATTTATATAAGAAATAATAAAAGAATTTTCCATCCTATTTTCTCAGAGGGTATGTTATTTGCCAAAATAAGTCTTATCTTAGCAAGTACTAGCCCCGCCCACCCGCCCTTTATTTTCTCAGAGGGTATGTTATTTGCCAAAATATATCTTATCTTAGCAAGTACTAGCCCTGACCACCCTCCCTCTATTTTCTCAAAAGTTGTGTCATTTGCTAAAATGCTAGTATTTGCTAAGATAAGACTGATTTTGGCAAATGATATAATCTTCTGAGAAAATAGAGGGTGGGTGGGCGGGGCTAGTACTTTTATTAAGATAAAACTGATTTTGGCAAACACCATACCTTCTAAGAAAATAGAGGGCGGGTGGGCGGGGCTAGTCCTTGCTAAGATAAGACCAATTCTGGCAATGACATATCCTCTGAGAACATAGGGGGCAAATCTAAAAAACGTGAATGCAATGATAAATCAGAAGTAAAAACTCATCATATTTTGTACATTTTGGGTAAAATTTATTGGGCAAAATTTTGAGAAGACGTCATCAATTTCTTGGGAGGAATAAACAGATATATTTGTTTACATGCTTACAATAATTCTAAGCCATCCCCAAGATTTCAAAGTATTCATTTTTGCAATTCTTGATTTATTCAAAAAAATATATTGATTGATTCATTAATTTTTTTGAGTCAGCCGGTATAATAAGCAAATCCAAAAAATATGAATGCATTGATAAACTACAAATATAGAATCATCATATTTTGCACATTTAGATAGGATTTATTCAATAATATTTTGAGGAAACGTCATCAATATTTTAGAAAGGATGGCATATACATTTTGATCAAAAATTTACCATGTTTATGAGAACTTTAAAACATTTCCAAAATTTCAAAGCATTCGGTTTTGCAATTCCTGATTAAATCAGTAAAATACATTCACGCATTAATAATTATTTTTCTGGGTCACCCTGTATAATCAAATCCAAAAAATATCAATGGAATGATAAATCACAAGTACAAAATCATGATATTTTGTCCAATTTAGGTAGGATTTATGGACAAATTTTTGAGCTGACGTCATCTATTTTTTGGAGGGGATAAGTAAATATGTATATTTTGTTTAAAAATTTATCGTGCTTATCATAACTGTAATCCATCGGCAAGATTTCAAAGCATTCGGTTTTGCAGGTTCAAAATTACATTTTGTGTCATAATTTTGATTTTTTTCCCAAAAAACTGGACATTTCGGGTAAAAACTCAATTCGGAGTCATAAACTACATACGTAGGGCTATGTTATTTTATACAATTTAAAGCCCCCTACAATTTTGAAGTGACGTCATCACCTTAGTGGTGGCGATGAGTAGATAAATTTTGGTTAGCATTACAAAATTTGACAACAATCGGCCCAGTACTTTCGGAGATTATTTGTCTAATAAAAATCCGGGACGGACAGAGCGATAGACAAACAGACAGACAGACGACGGAAACGGCGGACCTATTTCTTCGTACTCTAGGGGTCATGAAATATCGAGAAAACGTTAAAGTAGAGAGTCGGCCGACGGACTCGATTACAATACTTCCTTTGCTTACGCTTAGGCAGTAAAAAGAATGGTCTAAGGTATTAGAGAGAGCTTTTCTGACTTTGGTAAATTTTATTTATTTTGTAACCCATAAAGTTAAAAAAATATACATAAAACTAGTCACAACGTAAGAAAAAAGGCTTATGAAAAGATTAGTGTCAATACAATAACCATTAAGCCATTTGCACACTGAACTCGAGTTCCTACAATGGTATAAAATGTTGCTGTAAAATTTCGAGTTTTTGTGAAAACTTTGCATGTCTAAGGCGGATTCATAAAGCACAACTACAGAAATATGTTATTATATAAAATTGAAATTGTGTTATCAAGCTAAATTTCGAAGTGACGTTATCAAATTGTTGGTGGGGATGATTAGAGACGTTTTGGTTAGCTAATATTCCTAACATACGTATAAAATTTGACAACAATCGGTACGGTAGTTTCTGAAATTATTTGTCAAAATTCCTCAAAATTTTATGTAGAAGGAAAAAAATTTTACTTAGAGAAAATTACTGTAATAATTGTTTATAATTTTTACCTGAAAATCTGCAATCTATATCTTACAAAAGTAACCACTTCCGCTTCCACTAGTGATGAGTACTAATTACCCTGCATTTATCAATATATCATCGTTATATTTCCTCAGTGGTGAGATTTCAAGAACACATTTAGAGATTTCTGCTTCACGTTATTATAGTTATAACATCTGGGTTTTTACTTCTCAAGGGTAAGCTAAGGAAGTATTGTAATAGAGTCCATCCGACGAATGCCTGCTTTCATGTTTTCTCGACGTTTCATGAGTCCTACAACATGGAAAAGTAGGTTCTGTGTTTCCGTCTGTCATGTGTCGTTAGTCTGTAATGTTACGAAATATACCCATACGCGGTTTTCTCGAGGGCTTTCTAGTATGTACGGCGATGATGTGTGACTCATCAGCGGTGACGGCGGCCGGGCGGCGTTCGCATAAAGAAAAGCCTGGAGCGGACTCCAGAAAAACCTCGAAGCGGCATTCGCGAACTATCAGGAGGAACACAAGATTATTTAAATAGGGACCACTGTCGGAAGTAAGCTAGTCGAGTCCAGTCACTGTTGAGAGAACTTGGGTCTGGTCGAAATTATTCTGTACATAATCGTTGTGTTGTTAGTCGTGAAAATTAGTACTAATGAGAATTAATTTGTGAAGTTTTACCAACGCCGATTTTTAAATTACTGACGATCGTAACCGTTTTGATTTTTATTAGACAGATAATCTCCGAAACTACTCAATCGATTGTTGTTAAATTTTATATGTATGTCGGAAAATTGAAACACTAACCAAAATTCGTCATCCCCATCAACAATAGGATGAAGTTATCTCCGAAATTCACAATAGTAGATGTTATATTAATTGAAAAAATAGCCTCCGACAAAATAACTAACGACAAAATTAATCCCTACAAAATAACTTCACGACAAAATAGTTCCGACAAAACAGCTTCCCGACAAAATAGCTCCGTCAAAACAGCACATGAAAGTCAGAAATTATTTATTAATGAAAAGTAATTCTTCTGATCTGACCTGACTTGAGTGCACCTGACAAGACCTAACCTGATCTGATCTGATCTGATCTGACACGACCTGACCTGACCTGACCTGACATCTCTATTGTCTCAAGTAAATATAATTTAAACATTCCCGGGAATGCATAAAAACTAAAAAGTACATCCTTGAAACAGTTGTACGTATATTTTGTGGAATAAAGTTACTAATAATTTCTTTTGCTGAGCTATTTTATTACGGGGTTATTTTGTGAGGAGCTATTTTCTTGGGGCTTTTTTGTTGCGGATATTTTGTCGGGGCTATTTTGACACGTTCTTTAAATTTTATAAAATAAAATACTTGAGCATGTGTAATGAATTCATGTTGAGTTGTTATTCTAAGCATCTAGATGGTTTGAAAAAAAATTAAAATTATATAACAACGTGTTAGAATTGAATTTTGAATTGGCCACATCATATGCTCTAGAAAGTTTGCGAACGTTTTAAGGTTATAGAAAGCGTCGTAAACCATTAATCAAAATTTGTTCATTCATAATTATTCTTCAAATTTATGAGTGTTTACTCTAGAATTTTTGGGAAAAAAATTGAGTATGCTTAATTAATTAGTTAGTTAGCCGTTTCCTCTGCGTTGAGGACACAAAATTAATCTCACATTTCATTTTCTTTTAATACAAATGCCGTCAGTGATGCTTGTTATCTGAACGTGCTAATAGTCGAACTCTTTTGAAGTATAAACATAAACAGTAGAAGTTAAGGATATACTGAGAAATTGAGAGTACATTTTTCCCGATGGTTATCTGACTTACCTGTTTTAAATATATTTCATACTGTCCATACTTGGGCTGCGGGGGTGTTATCTACGCCACTGGTTTTTAGTTTATAGAACGAAATAGACGAAATTTTATAATTTGTCAAAAAGGTGTCAATTTTCTAGTTGTATCTAACCATATAAAACCAGCATATCGAAATGATCACATTCGTGCCATTTTTCTAACTTACACAAATAATGTATTAACTTTACACATTTATTCTGTTAGTTAAATGATATGAATTATATCAGAATTTTTACGACTGCAACTAAAACTCTATTTTTGAAACGCTGACTTTTGTGGAAAACCGAACTTATCCACTTTAAATTTAATTTTATAATTTAATCAATTTAAACTTCATGTTTTCTATCAGATTTATTTTTTTCAGTGATAGTAAAAGAAAGTCGCAACTGGAGTTCTCTTATTCAACCATCTACTCATTCACTTGAGATCTTGAAAATTACAAAAGAAACACACTAAATACTTCTGGGCAAACTAGAAGTGGGTCAACATCAGAAATAAAATTCCATATTCTAATTAATTTTAATTAAAAGCGTGACGTACAAGAAATTAATCAAAGCAATAAGCAGGCAATACTGGATAATTAATTTTCAAATACCAAAACGGTAACGTAACAGAAAAACGGTTTCGGAAGTCGTTGAGATTTTTTTAAAACTCACTTATCTTTTCAGATACTAAAAAAGTTTTCCGTTTTTTTAAATAATGAATTTATAACTTCGAAATAACTCTTGTTCTCTTCCAAGAAAAAACCGTTGCAGTATAAATAAAACAAAACTAACAATAACTTGGCGTGAATTCTTAAAAATTCCTTTCAGGCGTTCAGCACAATTAAGAGTGCGAAAGACCGTGCCACGCTGTTAAAACATGATTAATGTTTCTATATTGCACATTTTGTAGACGCTTTTCTAAACCATACAAAACACGAGCGAACAATTCAGTCTGGACGTGTTCGAGCTTTTGATTCCCGCATCTCGTATCGACGCCGTTTTAATTAGAAAAAATTATCTATTCAGAGCATGTTTCATGTGGATTAAATGAGTGAAATGCCTATACCTATGCATACGTACGCCGAATTCAGAAATATAATTGATATCACAAATTTGACCTCAATAATACGTCATTCTAGAGTGGTCATTATTTCCGTCACGAAATTTATAGCTTTTGTTGAATTCACGAGCCAGTTTGTCTTGCATGTAAATGAATTGTACATAATTGACAGTTGGATGTCATAAGAATACCATAAATCAGTATGTGGGGTCACCACGTTATTTGTGACCAAACTACTACAGGATAGGGTTTCTCTAGGTTAAAATTTAATTTCCTCATCAACGTATGCACGCAATTTGGCAAACACACACACGCTCCGATCGGGCCCCAAAATGTGACAAATTCTCAAGGAACCAAACCCAGACGGGTTAATGAGGATCATGATGGATGAGATTCCGGTGATGATTTATCGTTATTCGTAATCGACCCCGAAAATTAATCAGGTTGTCGTCTCTCAATTAAACACTAAAACTGATCGATCGCTATTCCCAGGATAAAGTTTTCTTGTGGTTTTGAATACATATTTTGAATGTAGCGTTTTTAAGACAGCAACAAAATCAATTCTGATTTAGTGCGCCTCTTTATTACGACAACCGATTTCCCGGGGCATAACGGAGAGGCCTAAAGTGGGCTGCAACTGTCACCGAGGGTTAAAGCCAAAGCCATGATTTATCTTGCAAAAGGTAGGAGCTTTACACTGCATCAGTCTTTATTTCTGGAGAGGAGGCAGTTTTTTGGTGATTTCGCGTTGTGCGTTTAGTTACAAGCGATAACGACTGAGAGTGTCAATGTTTTCGTAACAAGGTTCGTCTAGAAAGGCTGGTGTTCCAAAAAGAACAGATTTTTCTACACATGGGTTGGCCGCAAAAAATGCAGACAACTTTGCATTATTCGACAAAAATTCATAAATTGTTTGTTTAAATGATTTTTGCATATCAGACGACGATAATTTGAGTTTAAACATGGTTTTTGTATATTTAACCACCCACGGTGCAGTGTTTCACTACAAGACCTGACGTCCCTTTGAAAGAATTCTACTTTTATATAGAAAGTGGAGCGTAAAATTCTTACCTAAAAAGCATTGTAACAAAAGCAAACTTTTTTTTCAGAAGAATGTATCAAAGTGGACATGTCATGTGGGGAATGTTCACATAAAATGCTTTTCCTGTTTTCAATTCAATATAGACGTCCCAGTTTTTTTTGCCTTCATTTTGCGATCTTGCAAAATCTTTTATGTATAAAATGGTGTACAGTTGCTTAAAATTACCAAGCATCAAAGAATGTTTCCAAAATAAAAGTTCGCTTCTTTTCTATAATAATTAATTAATACAGATTCTGATTGGATACATTAATTAGTTGTTAGTTTTATTCTCTACATCCCGTTTTCAATTTTCAAAGCATTAAGTTTTTTTCCGACGAGTCCTACTATGAAATAATTAAACACAATGATTGCCTAAAGCAGTCTGTATAAATTAAAAAATATAAACGCTAATATTAATTTCCTTAAATTTACGTATAGGGAGGTAAGGGAAGATGGGCCAAATTGAAGTATCTATTTTCTCCAGTAATAGTCAGTTCAATGAGCAAACTTGCTTTTTGAACGCATATGCGATACTAAATCAAAAAGCTGTTTTCAGTACATTTTTTTTAACTTTGTCGCTTGCGATATGTGATTAGTAGAGAGTGAATTTTAGGCTGTAAAGAATATAAAAGTAGACCTTAAAACAGGCCACTTAAAGAAACAAAAAAGGCTTCAAAAATAGACAAAATAGGCACTTTAGGAATACATGTTATTCATAAAATTAATTATGTTATATGTTTTTACTTACCGAGCGTAAGCCAAGGAAGTATTGTAATATTATAAATCCGACGAATGGTTATTTTCCTGTTTTCTCAACGTTTCATAACCCACAGAGCATGAAAAAATAGGTCGCTACCGGACCGATTGTTGTCAAAATTTATATACGAATATTGTCTACATGCTAAAAAGTTAACCAAATTCTGCGTAGTAAGTTTTCTTTCAATTTTATAAACTAACACACTCCTACACTTGTAGTTTATGAACCCATTTTAAAACTTTTATAATAACATTTTATAATTTAAATTTGAAACTACAAAACCGTATGCACTGAAATCGTCCGAAGGTTTGTTACGATGAACGGTAATTAAAAAATCGGCGTGGGTAAAACTCAATAATTTATTTCTTGTTAACTCAATTTTACAGCGATTATGCACAAAATAATTCCGGCGCAACTTGACTGAATTTATTCACTGGACTCGACTTGCTGCCTGCATGATCATCGTTCCCGAAGGTGGTGTCTATTTAAATCCATACTTCCTTCTAGATGTTCGACGATCGGGATCTTTCTGGAATACCCATCCCAAGTTGCGCTTCCAGGCTTTTCTTTAGCGAACGCCGCCCGGCCGCCGTCACCGACGATGAGTCATCATTGCCGTACATACTAGAACCCATAGACGTCGTACCGGGGCGGCATATGGGTTTCTTTCGTACTAGTATGATAAATCATTAAAGTGATGACGTCGTCTCAAAGTTTTTCCGAATAAATATTACTTCAAATGTATAGAATATTATGAGTGGATATTTTTGGATTATTAGTATAATTTTTAGAATTATTCACTAGGGATCGTTGAAACATTCTTCAGATAAAAATTTATTCCTTGAAATTATTAAGATTTATTTCAAAGAAACAAACCTTCTTTTAACGAAAGAAAAATTTTAGTAAAATTTAATAATTCATTTATTGATTCAATTTTTCTTATGTCTTATGCTCTGGACAATACAAAACCTTCCACTGAAAAGTATAAAGTAATCGACTTCGCATACAAATTTTAACTTATTTTTATAAAGGAAGAAGAAAAAAGAACATGAGAAAAAACTATTTAAAAAAATTGGTGTAGGAGTATTTAGACAGAACTTCCTAGCCCCTGAAGTAAAGTCGAACAAATGCAACTTCTTCGAAAAATTAGAAAATTTATCTTTACGAATTTTATTTGTTTTTATGATAACTCCTCTACTATAAGTTAAATCAAAGATATATGTAGACTGTAGGCACAAAAACATGCAAAAAAATGGAGTAAGCCCTTCTTAATTCGCAAGAACTGAGACTTCAGGCACATTTCAACATTAATGGTTTGTACTATTTTGTATTTCAATATTTTATCTCGCTTTTTAATATTTTTTTTATTATTTTGTTTAACTCCATCATTCATTTTTCGTTCTGATCGTTGTCCAGTAGTTGGAACAGTAGTTTTGTAATAATAATAATAATAATAATAATAAAAAGAAGAAGAAGAAGAACAAGAAGAAATTCTGAAAAATAATATATAAAAAAAATAAATATAAACTTACAATATTTTGCATATTTTAGATGGGATTTATTCAGCAAAATTTGATGACATAAATTTTTTATGAATGGCGATAAACGGATGTATGTTAATTAATGATTTACTATGCTTATGATAACCTCAAAATGTTTGCTAGAATTCAGAGCATTTGGTTTTGCACTGTCGAACTTAAATTTTAAAATATTGTACAATTTTGATTTTTGATTTAAATCTGGAAAATATTTTATCTTCTTATCAAATACTGACTCCTACTGACTACACGATGGAACATCTCTTTCCTTTAAATTGTAATCAGACGCATTAGACAGCACAACTTTAAGTTCTTAAGATCTGTTTCATACTAACTCCAGACAATACTTTATAACAAAAACAGTTTTAGCTCTTTGGAACTCCTTGTCTCTTGATATTATCGAAAGTAAAACTGTTATTGGAATTTAAGGCTAAATTCGATTTACATCAAACGAACGAAGCTTTGTCACGCTTTAATTTTCGCGTGAAGGTAACGTGTTTTATTATTAGAAAATGTGCAGGTGTTTTGCTAATAACAAAACTTTCAAGAACACGGTCTTGGTAAAACAATTTTTTTGGAACCGATTTTAAAACGCGAGGATTTGAAAGGTGAAAATTTATTTATAAAATACGGTGTAGGTGGCAAATGCTTTCCAACACGTCGATATAACAAAACGACTACAAAAATGAAAAGCTTATATAAGGCGTAACGAAGGCAGGTTTATTACGGATCCAAGATAAACATTCGATAATTGGCGATGTTTCCGTGTTTGTTGTTGTTTGTTTTGTAAAACCAAACGAAAACACTTTCAAGTGACTCGCAAATTGAAATAAATGCGGACCCAAGTTTTTGCTTGTCAGCAGAACCAGTAATGGGAAAAGCAATTTGCAAAAAATTGCTTTGTTTTAATTCACAGCAAATATATAGCATCATCTGAATGAGTAAAAGCATACTAGTAGAGTTAAATTAAAAAGTGTGGTTAGAATTTTTTGTTATTGCCATCAATGCAACTTCAAAAATTTATGTCAGTTGTGGATAAACGTGAGAGGAATACTTGAGACTTTCCCTACGGCAAGAGCTGCTCTCAATTTAAAACAATATATAGACGTATACTAGCCACATACTGAACACGTAATTCTTGAAATCGTAGTTGCAACTAAAGTGGAAGTAGAGGCTTTTTATGCTGTATATTCTGCAGGCAAGACAAGCAAAAATCGTCAATTACTTGCTTTAAAAAGTTCGTGAATAAAGAAACTTTTTCTGTCTGCAAAAACCACTAAGAATTATTAATAATTTCTGATGTGACGTCATCAGTTTATTAGTGGGAATGTATAAATAGACAAAACTGTGCAACGATCAGAAAAATCCTGCTAACTATAGTTCCGGAGATAAATACCCACAACCTTAAAGCTGCTACGAGCTTTTGCTTTCCCTGAGTTGTACAGTAATTTGCACGGCGATTAAAACATACTGCCCTTGTTCTTAGAAAAACGTGCGAAAACTGCAACTGCTGGGACCTCTGCTCATTAAAAGTTATCTCGTCTTCACCCTTCTGATTGGCAAAAACAAAATTTAAAAACGTTAGAAGCTTCACACCCCTATTTTAAACAAGCTCGCACTTTTTTGTCGATGCAAATTTCATATTTATTCATAATAGGGTGCTAAATCATCACCAGAAAACAAAAATGGGAAGCGGGTGAAATGTGAGATGTAAGCGCTTTAGGCGGAATAAACATTTCCACGTTAGCGCTTGGCAACACGGAAAAATGTGACGCATTTTTTTCGTTAATGCTTCACCTAAATCGAGTATAATAATATTTACATCGTTTTGAAACTAATTTTGACCAAGAGAATTACGCATCATCGCGGCACCATAAAATTCGTATACAAAAGGACTAAAGGGGATGTTACCCTTACGCTGTTAAGTAGTCCCAAATGAGTGTTTTGTTTGTGTTGTAAAATATCCGCAATTTTGCTTACTAAATCGAATTTCGAGGCACGTTTAATTTAATATAATTGTTAATTTCAGAATTCAGGCATTGTTATGATCATATATACTTTATGGCTAAGCAATAATGGCATTCGTGTTGTAATATTGCTGGAGTGTGCGTCTGGAGAATGAAACCATTTTTAATATTACGAACAAAGGACTTGCAAGGAATTTATTACATTTAATAAATGTGCATGTATTTTCTGTTGCAGTGATAATTTATTCGCTTGTATCATACATCATGTGGTAAAACACGAGATAAAAGTGGCCTTTATGCCTCATATAACGGGTTATAAATCCAAAAATAATGAGTTTGGAGTAAAGTAGCTTGCGCTGTAGATGATTTCTTCAAAGAAAAATAAATCATGTGGACTTACCGTCACCATCGCTGAGAATCTTTCCGTGGAACATACACAAATCCATCTGGAAAGAAAAACTAAATTAGTTGAGTACAAAATGTGAATCTCTTGCTGATAAAACTCTACGGTTGAAAATATTTTATGGGAGTACTTTGTTGAGCAGGCACGTAACCAGCCTTTTATTTTGGAGGGGCCCAGCCCGGGCACAAATTTCAAATAAGGGGGCCTTTAAAAAAAGTCTTCATTAGTATAAATCAACATTTTACTTGGATCACAACCAGTACATAAATTTAATGGGGTGCAAATAGTTGAAATTGACAGGTATTTACTTTTAATATTGAGAGGTAGAATAATCAAGATTTTCACGTTAATGCGTTAGTGACTTTACTGTACGGATATGTTTGCTTTTTGTATATAGGTATGTATATGTACTAGAAATACATATAGTATTCATTATGATATGCCAACAATTCAAAAAGTAGTTAAAAAAAACTTCGCTAGTAGTCAAGATAAAATTAATAAAATCTTACCAGGAATGAGATGGGTTGTTAATGTAGAATTATGCGACGGTTTTTATGAGCTGCATCAAATTCATCGACAATTTTTGAGGTGTTCAACGATTTAGCTGTTTCTCGTTCAATGTTGATAATTGCCAGGTGAACAAGTCTTTCATCCGACATTTTATTTCGCAAATAAGTTTTAAGACGCCGCAAACACGAAAAAGTCCTTTCACATGCTGCACTAGAAACTGGAATTGTTACACCAATGACACCTAATTTTAATATCTCGGGAAACACAAGATCGTACTTTTGTAGCATGTCTATAAAATCCATAATATTTTTAATATTCACTTTTGTTTTTATTTGATATTGTTTAATTGTATTTGGAATTATTTTAAGTTCCGCTTGTAAAATTTCGAGTTCACTGTGGTAATGTTGTGCCATGGGTAATAATTTGTCGTAGTTTAAAAATGAGGGATTCTCGGGATGTAAGGCGTCGCATGCGTTGACAATTGGTGAATTCTTTTCGAAACGATTCTGTAATTCATTTGTAATTAAGTCCAGAACGGGATAAAATATTTTGTGTAAATAGTCTTCTCTATTAAATATTTCACTGCGTTCCAAATTATTTAGTTCTTCAGTGACCAAGTATGACATATATTTCTTTGGCATTTTTCTTCTTCTTGCTGTTGCTTCTATTGGTATGTTGTTGTCAGCACATATTTTCTCTGTTTCAGAAAATATTTCCATAAAGGTTTCATTTTTGTCATCAGTTCTCATCTTCATTATTGTGTCGTAAATAGAAGTTATTAAAATGTTTGCTTCTGAAAGATTTGATGTGACTTTTTGTAGATAATCGCTGGCATTTTTGAAAATAGACAACAATTGACTATACATGCATAAATTAAATATGAAAGTATAGTCCAGCTGATGTAGAAGTCCAAGAGCTTCTGCTGACCGAGCACTTTTACTGACACTTAATTTATTTAACAAAATCAACAGTTCAGAAAACACCTTTTTTAAAGATAAGCAAGCGAAAACTTGAGCCGTCCACCTTGTGTAACATATTTTTTTGAGTTCAATCGGTTTTTTGTTTGGACGGAGTTCTTTCTGTATATTAATAAATTGTGCATGTATTGCAGAACCAGACACAAATACATACAAATTTTCTATCAAACCAAAAAACAAATTTGCCGTAGTCAAATTGCGACAGATATCAACTACTACCAGATTTAATCTATGACTGTAGCAGTGCACGTAGATGGCTTGTTCGACCTCATCAGTAAATAATTTTTGCACACCACCCACACGACCACTCATTACGTTGGCACCATCATAGGTTTGGGCAACACACCTCTTGATGTCTACAGAACACCGTTGCAACAAATTTTTAATATAAGAAAATAAGGAATTTGCATTCAAGTCTTGGGCCGCGTGGAATCCAATAAATCTTTCGTAAACGGTACCATCCAAATAATATCGAAGTACAACCGACACCTGCTCGGTTTTGCTAATATCCTTTGTTTCGTCACATATTACGGCAAAACATGACGCTTTGTTAATTTCCGTGGAAATTTTTTCCAACGTCATTCGTGAAATAATAAATAAAATTTCGTTCTGGATTTTCGGGCTAGTATATTTTGAATTTTTGTGACCCTCTTCATTCAATTTCTTTTTTACGACATCATTATACTTTGCAAACAATGATAACAGTTCCAGAAAATTTCCTCGGTTACTACTCGCTGAATTTTCTTTGGATCCTCTTTGGGCAATACATTGCATTGCTGTATAAAGTATAACATCCACAACGATACTTACATACAGTCTGTTCTCTTTCACTAAATTCAAATGAGCTTCACTTAACTGTCCCGCAACTGATCCTTCTCCAGATGCTTTAATTTGTTTAAAAGAACTCCACTTGATCATGCAGCTTTTGTGGTCAGAACTTGAATTATGCAGTTTCAACCCACTTGTTTGGTCCATTGCTTTTTTCCAGTTTTTAAAACCTACACTGATAAATGCCACATTTGAATTTTGATCTGATGCATGAGGTGAGAAATGTCTGCACGCAAAACAATATACGCTATCGGCACTGACACTATATTCTACCCACGGAAAGGTATTGTACCAGGCTTTATTGAACTGACGAAACTTATTTAAAAATTTTGTTTTTGGGTAGAACTGTAAAACAGGTTGTTTTGGTTCATCCACTTTCGTCTGCGACAAATCTAAAGGCCCTGGCACATGCGATCTACTCGAGAGTTTTAATTCCGGATTTTGTCGAGATTTTATCCAGCTCTCAAATTTTGCTTCGCAATCTTCCGTTTCAGAATCAGCTTCTGAAAGTGATTCACTATCCGTTGACTGCAGATTTTCAAAACTCTCATCACTTTCTTCTAAAGTTTCGTCTATTTTACTAGGTCCTGGATCACTACTTGCAGTTTCACAAATAGTTTCTGCACTATCACTAGCAGTCTGTTCACCAGGTTTCAGTTTTTTAAATGCGGTGAAATAATCTGAAAGCGTTCGTTTTTTTTCTGACATTTTTAACAGACACAGTTGAACGACACGGGACAAAAGACTCCGGAAAACTAACACCACAAAATATCAAAAGCCTGCGTGTCAATCTGCATAGTGTGTAAAAGGCATATCTGCTGTATCGGCTAATTGCTTAAAAAAGTTATCGACAAAACCAAAACTGTTCACAGCAGTATCGCTTTACTCAGAGAGTTATATTACAAGATAAGAACATAAGATTATTCACAGCTAAAATTTACTGTTGATCTGAAATTTCGAATTTGCTTACTTTTAAAATTTAAAATTAATTTAAGGGGGCACCAGGGGTGGCACAGGGTTTTGTTGGGGTGGCCTGTGCCCCCCCAGGCCCCCCCTTGGTTACGTGCCTGTTGTTGAGACTATAAAAACAGTAAGGCCATATGTTTTCAACATAAGCTGAATACACAGGCCTTAAATTACATCACGTTTTTAAGATTTAATAATAAAGGAGGAATTATCAGTAGATAATGAAATATTCGTTATAAAATTGTCAGGTCATATTGAAGACCAGTGAACACAACAAAAAGTGCAGTGAGTGAGGAAGAGTTATTGTTTATTTTACCCAAATTACTGCTACATTTATGCTTATTTTTAATTTACTAAGACAAATACTTGGAGCATGTAATTAAAAGAAGGTCGAACACAAATGAAGCTACTTTTTGGATTCAACTTATATACATATAACATTTACTTCAGTGTATTCCCTAAAACAAAATACTTTTGGAAATTATTAGAAACATGTCTTTGACTTCAATTTTGTTAGAAACAGTAGAAAAATGAATTAAAGCTATAGCAAAAGTTAGCTAGATTAAGGACTGGTATAAAGTTATTTAGACAGACTTCGCACCTGAAGTCAAACATTCAAGCACATTCGATTTTTTAGGGACAAAATGTTGTTTAGAATAGGATTTGAACTCACAGTTCAAGTTGCTCATGGCCTAATTGTCTAGTGCGCGCATAAGGTATTCGTTACATGAAGCAAGAGGCAAATTCAAGGCGGATTTATAAACGACAAGTATAAGAGAATTTTATTTGATAAAATTTAAATAGTATTTACTAAACAAATTGTTGACATGGCGTCATCACATTGAAGGAGATAATTAGACACATTTTACTTAGCGTTTTACCGTCTAAACGATATTCCTAACATACATTTCAAATTGACAACAACTGGTCCGGTAGACGGCAAAGGGAAGCGAGATATCTATTGTTTCGTACTCTAGGGGTCATGGAACGTCCAGAAAAGATGATTTCGTCGGATCGACCTTATTACAATCAATACTTTCTTAGCTCACGTTAGGGAAGTAATAAAAACATCAAGATTTCAAAACACAATTTCGAGACCATGTCCACAATTACTACGTCGTCATCTGCACTAATGTATACCTACTGTACCTGTAAAAAAATTGGTCTCTAAGAAAAATTATAAAATTTGATCTTACGATTTTCGTTTTGAAATAACCTCTGTAAACTAAAAACCAGCGGCATAAATAACACCCCCGCAACCCCTACGCCATACGGATAAAGTAAAATATATTTACAGCACTGAACTAACGGGATAAAATGTCCTTCAGCACTAGGTAATAGCAGTCTGAAGCTCAAGGGATTATTTTTTTGTGTTTATACATCGAAAGAATGTCACGTAGCCATTAGTTTTATTTGGATGAGTTTGTCTTCTCAAAACAGAAGACCAAAATGTTCTGAATATTATAATTCTTATTTTATCATTCTTATTTAAAGACGTGGGTATTATCACATTTTCTAGAAAATGGGGTAACTCGTTCTTAATTTGACCAATAAAAAAATTGTTGTGACGTTATAAACACAGATAATACCGAATGCGAGAGAAATAAAGAAAAGAAAAAGGGAAAAAACAAAAAGCCAAGCTTCAACCACTAGACCACTCAGGTGCTTTACGTTTTTGCAAAAATTTGGACGGTTAGGGAAAAACTCACAGCCCATTCATATACCACACTTATAGGAGTATATTGTTGTATAACCATTAAATCAAATAAATATAGAATTCTTTAAAAAAAAAGTCATCAAATTCTGCGTGGGGACGATTAGCGAAATTTTGGTTAGTATTTAACCATCTACATGACACTTCTAATGTACATACAAAATTTGACAACAATCGGTCCAGCAGTTTCAGAAATTACGTGTCTAATGAAAATGGATATAGACACCAGACAAGCAGACAGACGGAAACGCGGAACTACTTTTTTCGTACTATAGGGGTCATGAAACATCCAGAAAATATAAAAATGGCCATTCATCCGATGGACTCGATTATTATACTTCCTTAGCTTACGCTAACGTTCCCACATTTTTGCTTGAGATGAACTAGCTAATTTTAGTTAATACCTTACCATCTACATAACATTTTTAAAACAGATCTAAAATTTCACAACGATCTGCCAAAAAGACTCAGAGATTGTCTATCTAGTAGAATCGACGACGAACCACAGTTAAACACAAATGAGAAGTTTTCGTCAATTGGATGCCATTACAATACTTCCTTAGCTGACGAGAGGTGAAAGGTGAATTTAAATATTTTACTTAAACATAAACCGTGGAGAGAATTCCAATATCAAAGATTTTTTGGTTTTGAAGCATTAGTAGTGTAATACGGTGCGTTATCTATTGTTGACATTTCATGACCCATAGAGTAGAAAAAAATAGGCCTCCCATTTCCATTTCCGTCCATCTGTCTATCCACTAAAGTTAAAGGTCGGCTAACGGGCCAGTTTTTTCTTATAGTCTAACTGGTATAATCTGTACTGTTTTTTCTAAGAAACTGGATAACATGGACCAATTTTTTAACTTTGTTTTACATTATAACATACCTACCTTTTAATTTTTCCGAAAAGGTTGAAAGCCAATTCTAAAGTTTTTCTTTGAGCTTTAAAATTGTGATCTCATCAATATTTTGTATCGAGAGAGCAACAAAAAACTGGTCGAATGTTGTTTAGACAGAACTTCCCGCGCTCCTAAAATACAATGATAATTTTTTTGGGTCACACTGTTTATGCAAATCCAAAAAATATAAATGGAATGATAAATCACAAGTACAGACTCATCATATTTTGTACATTTTAGATAGGATTTATGAAGCAAAATTTTGTGGTGACGTCATCAATTTTTTAGGGGGGATGATCAAATACATTTTGATCAAAAATCTTCTATTCTTATGATTACTTGAAAACATCTCCAAGATTTGAAAACATTCGGTTATATAGTTCCTGATTAAATGAATAAAATAAATATACACATTCATTAATTTTTTTGAGTCAGCCTGTATATGCAAATCCAAAAACTTTGAACGGAATGATTAATTACAAGTACAGACTCATCATATTTTCTACATTTTAGATAGGATTTTTTCTGCAAAATTATGACTGACATCATTAATATTTTGGAGGGGACAAGAAAAAATATTTCGATGAAAAATTTATCATGCCTATCATAACCTTAAAATATCTAGAACATTTCAGCGCATTCGGTATAATACTTCTTTGTTTACGCTCGGAAAATAAAAACACGAGCAAAGACAAACACGGCTTTTTGAAGACTTATATCTTTGATACAATGTTCGTCTTGTCAAATTACCGTCATTTTGAAAGTTTGACTCGAAACGCAACAATCAAAGACAAACTTTCAGCAGTCCGTGGTTGTCTTTAATCGTATTTTTACTGTCTGTACATAAACTAAGGAGGTCTGTCTATCTGCCGTTTCTCCGAATTTTTATTAGACAGATAATCTCCGAAACTACTGGACCGATTGTTATCAAATTTTATGTGTATTAGGAATATCGTGTAGATGGTAAAACGCTAACAAAGATTTGGTTAGCGTCTCTATGAACCATAAGATCACGTCGTCTCCAAAATTTATATTGGTGAATATTATTTAAATTTTATAAAATTAGATACTCTTACACTTTGGTTTATGAATCCGTGTTGAGTTTTTATGCTAGATATTCAGATTTTTTGAAAAGAAAATATAAATTGTTTAACAACATTTTGCAATTTTATTTTGAATTTTGTAAACATTTTAAATTTATTGTAGCCGTGATAATGATGAGAGATGTTCATAAAACTTCTTACATAATAATTATGATATTCAACAACATGAACGAGTTATGGCAAATAAAAAATAATTCATATAATTTTATAGTTTGTCATACAAATTTTGATGACGTTGCCACTGGATACTGATTAACGAATATGTTTTTCATATGTTCATATTTTTTAAGTACATTTTTCAATTATCGCTTAAACAAATATTTTTAATGTCAGAAATCAAAATATTTCAAAACGGATGGTCTTGATTGGTTTTCATTTTAAAGGCGATTAATAATAATAATTAATTAAATTTTTCCAGCATAAACAATATATATTATTTCTTGAAACGAGCGGAAAGAAATGAAATGTTTCGCACCATCACAAGAGCAGATTTGAACCACACACCCTTAAATCTGTCGAACACCGAAGAAATCCACACCCCCCACACAATAGATAAAATAATAAGTGGGCTAAAACAAAAACAACTACATGGAAAATTCTACAAAGACTTAGAAGAAACTCATATCAATAAGAAGATGTCATTGATTTGGTTAAAAAAATCAGGTTTGTATGCCGAAACAGAAGGATTTGTGTTTGCTATTCAAGACCAAGTAATCAATACCAAGAATTACAAAAAATACATCATCAAAGATCCGAACATAAAAAACGACTGCTGTCGCCTCTGCAAAGCAAAACCTGAAACGATCCAGCACATAATCTCTTCTTGCAGCATCCTAGCACAAACTGACTACAAAGCTAGACACGACAACGTCGCCAAAATCATCCACAAAGAATTAGCAACACTTATGAACTTAATCGAAGATACGACACCGTATTACACTTACATTCCATCTCCGT